AGTATCTCCAGTGTGTGAACTCTTCCATGTAGTTAGTCCAGAAGCATAAGTAATTAAGCCATGGTAATTCAATATTATGAGCTGCAAAATCAAATAATTGATATACTAGGCCTATAACAGGAGGTATTGGTTTATTGTTAGAATAATGTTCCATGTGTGTTATTGGGTTTGCCCTATCCATATATATTATACACTTAGTTTTATTCACTAGACAAAATTAGGTGGGTTGTGTGATAAATGATGAGATTATACAGTTCAGTGACTACAAAAGCTCAGTTCCCCAGTATTTAAACCAAAGTTCCAACTAATTTGTTACATTACATTTCATTTTCTGCTCTTGTGAATGGAGGTATAGTGTTTTAAGAGGCTTATTAAAGGTTTTAAAATGCATGTCATGTTAGTTCTCAGGAACAAATCTATTTAAAGGAATTAAAGGGTTGCCATCCACAGAGATTGAAATAGGTCAACAGGTCCAGCATAACTACTGGTTTCATCTGTACACAAACACTTCTGTAGAAGTGTTTCTCTTCAAATTTGATATTTTAAGCAAGGCCAGCTGGATGACTTTTTAGTCTGAATGATATTATCCACCAAAATCCTGATTACAATACGTCTACAGGAATATCTTGTAAATTCCAATTTGGGGTTATGTGAACAGTAGTAAAAGCAATCTCTTGTGTATTTGTAAGGGTTTTGGGTTTGGTTTTTTTATGCTTATCTAGTTCTAGTTATCCACTAGGCTTAACCAAACAGCAATCAAACAGTAGTCATCTACTTTCTTCCAATTACTTCACCTTGTTCCATACTAGATAATCCTGTAAATTGAGTAGCATAAATAGGAAAACTCCTATGCAATACATCAAGTCAACAACTTAGTATTATTACAAGGCAGATTCAAACACAAGCTATCTGGCCAGGCAGCTTTGTGAAAATGGTAGAGAGATTTATATGTAAAATTAAAGGAAAGCAGCCAGATACACTGAACCAAATGTTGTTGGTCCTCATAAATATGGAGGAGCTATGGTGGCATAGAGGATTAAATACATTGAACTGCTAACATAAGTCCAGTGGTTCAAACTCACCAGCTGTCCATGGGAGACAGATGAGGCTATGTATTCCTGTAAAGATTAAAAGTGTTAGAAACCCAAAGGGGCAGTTTTGCACTGCCCTATAGGTTTTCTGTGAATCAGAATCAGTTTGCTGATTGATCAACAAACAAATATAAGGCCAAACAAATCAGACTGAAATTATAACTCTCACTTTGAGCTGAAGGAATGCAAAATTGAAAGTCTCATAGCCACTGAAAACATATTCTGTCTGCACAAATGGCCACTACTAGAAATGGGAGGCTAACCAAAAACACTCCAAGTTGGTGAATGAAGAGAGCCCAGTGAAGCAGTGAACTGGGGCGGGGTGGGGGTGGGGGGGCAGCGGCTGCTGTGGAGCTCTCCCTTCTCTTTTTAACCTTTCTGTCCTTTCTCATTGGATGGACCTGTATTTTAACATGAGTCATTTCTCAATTCTTCCTGAGCAAGGCTGCTGTCCTTATTCTCTGACTTCTCTCCCTACTCTCAGGCTTCATCCCTGCAACTACACCAGAAAATATGCACTTTTTCTTTTCCTGGTCTGAAGCCCAGCTAATCAGCCAACCCCCTGCTTCAATTCATTTGAATCTATCTTAGCTCTTGATTATACTCAGGGAAAATAACCCATTGACTCATAAGGAGAGCTTACAGGAGACAGTAGACTTCCCCAAAGGTTTTCCAAGGTTACGCTCTATACAGAAACAGTCTGCCACATCTTCGTCCATTGGGATGACAGGTGGTTTTGAACTGCCGGGTTTTTCATTTGCAGCCAATTGCTTACCAGTGAAGCACTGCGCAGATAGTGCTTCTTACTCAGAGACAGTAGAAGGCAATTATGTAAATAGTAACAGTCAGGATAACTCCTTTTTGGCATTGCAACTCTTATGCTAAAGTCTTTATAGTACTGCATAGATATAAAGCTTAGCTTATCCAGGTAGGTATTCTTAGTGTCATTTCCCTGCCCTGTATTAGAAAACTGTGCATCGAAACTAAAGTTACACCCTTAGTCATCATTGAATTTGGAAGAGATTTTGTACGGTTCTAAATATCACATGCTACACATAAGAGAAGTCATTTTCTGAGCCTCTAGTCATCTATATAATTGAAACCATATGTGTTAGTCTGGGTACATTAGAGAAAGAAATCCACAGAAACTTATATGTATAAGACAGTTTTATATAAAGGGTAAGTGAACATTAAGAAAAACCCCGGGTCGGGGTGGGGGTGGGGGGGGAATCCCAACAGTGCTGACCAAGCCCACAAGTCCAGGATTAGCCCATATGTCTGACACTGTTCTACAAATCCTCCTCAATCTCACAAAACACACACAATGACGCTGACTGCAGGAGGAAAGCCGAATCAGTGACCATGTAAGCATCTCAGCACTGGCAGGGGTCTCCACACAGCTGCTCCAGCACCCAGGGCTGCATCGGGGTAAGTCCATGTGACTTCTCCTCAGGGATGTCTTGCAGGAAGTGAGCCTTGCAAGCTGAAGCAGGGAACTGGCTAAGGCAGCTGCACCCTGGTCCGACCATCAGAAAGCAAGAGACCCAAGAACTAGAACGGTGAGGTGAACGGAGCCATTGATCTCTCCACCCTTCAATTAACCCCGCATGTGTTTATCAGCTAGGTTGATAACTTTAACTATCTCACCATAATTCTACCCTGTACTGTTAGTACAAGAATGAAATTACATGAACTCAATAAAGCATACAAAACATAGTAAGTGCTTACTAACAAATTTACATTTTTTTCCTACAGACCCTTTGGTAGTATATAGTTTATTTTCTCATCTGGCACAATAACCAAGATGTGGTAAATACTTAATAAACCAAAGAATACTCATAAGTTAGTTACTATCTACAAAATATATAATTGATACAGCTGTATATGTTTGCACAGAAATCACTGACTGCTAAATGGGGAGGGAAGAGCAGATACAAATCATATGCAAGATGCAATCCTATTTACATCCAGCAAAGTTTTATGAATATATACATATATAACTGTATACATATACAGATATATAGGTGAGCATTCTCATATACCCACGTAGAATGAAAAGTGATGGATTGCATGAGAAGCAATCCAAGGTTCTCACTGCTGGAGAAAAGTAAGAGATTTTAAGGAAATAGTCTAGATTTTCATATACTCTGCAATATATTTGCAGATTTTCATCTCTCCTGCTGCATACACTCTAAAACAAACAAACAGCGTTAGCTCACACTCCAAGACTTCACAGGGATGATGTGGTTGGTGGGCATAAAACTTATATTACTGATGTATGAGGGCTATGAAAATAAAAATACTTATTCATAATGTACTCCTAATTTATGAGTTACTTGAGGAGCAAAAACAATTATAATAACAAGTACATGAATTTGGTGTATCACTTGAATATCCAAACTCAGTTTTAAAATTGGTAATGAAACTGTCAGAAATGATGGAGTCCCCCTTTCCTCATTATACATCATGTGAAAACTTCAGACTCTGCTAAGGAAGGCAACCAGGCCACAACTTCTAGTGAATCAGTGGCAGTTACAGCAACATGTGGGTTGCAATCTATATTTGGATTGATTTTTGGATCCTATCTTGCTTCCCAAATGAAGGACAGTAAATACAATTTGATGTGCAATAGATTAAGACATTCATTTATCCTAGTGGCTCTAGTGTGTGTTTATTCCTCAATACAAAGTAGGCAGGAGTGATATTTAACAGAAAACATTGAGGCTTTATCATGCTTTGCTCTTAGCATTAGGCTGCTGAATGCGCCCCCACCCCCTGCCACTTTCTTTGATCTGATGCAAGCGATTCAAAAGCCAGAGGAATGATAAATGACCATGAAGTTCAGACAGAGATTCCTTTTGTTTGTACAGAAGAATAGGAAGATGGCCAAATTGATCAGTCATCAAGGTATAATGATTGGGAATAAATGCGAGCCCCTTTGATGTGGCTGTGGGTGCCAGCATCACAGAAAGAGATAATTCTTCTGCCTTACATAATTGAATGATTAGGTCTGTTTGTGAATGAGCTTCTTTAATTGCTAACTGGTAATTTGGCATCCTGACTTGGGTTTATGTGAACCGTGATCCCTGACTCTGAGCAAGGGAGAGAAGATTGAGCTGAGAAGGATGAATGGGAAGAGAGGTCTCTAAAGAAGGATGTGGAGCAAAGCAAAAAATGAACAAAAGGCACAGAAATTACACCACCTGTCCTCAAAGAAATGACAGGTTTCATCTGGGTGAGAACACAGCCGGACTTCTGACAGGTTTTCATTGCCTTTTAGAAAACACCAAGCAAAGTTGATGTTCCCATTTATAACAAGGAGGAGACCTATCCGGGCTTAGCCATCCTATCTTGGGAAGCATTAGGCAGAAAACTCAATGAAAATATAGAGCCACCTGCGCTGAAGGGCCTCTGGAAAGGCCAAGCAATATGAAAG